GTCGAGGTCAACCGTCGACTAGTCCTTACTGTGCTTCCGTTGGTACTACGCCAGTTTCATAGACCTTGGATTAACTACAGCCAGTTTGATAACAATGGTGATGAGTCTGATTCTGAGCAGGTAATTTTTTATTTATTTATTTTTTGATATTACTCAACGTACAACTCCGGTCTTCTCTCCTCTGAAGTAGAATCAACATCATCTGAATAACAGAAGCACAAATATTGCAATTAAGAATTCAATTTACACCTTCCTGAAAATAGCACATTTTTACATAATATACGGTAAACTCCAACCCAAAAGGCAAAAATAAGTGATCTTTTTTTTCCACAATTACCTGAATTAAGAGACTTTTGTGGCGGTAATTTGCCGTCTAATCTTTCAATTCGGAAAGTGACGGGGAGATAAAAAAATCGGAACTCATTTCCAGTCATTCTGGCTTATAATTATCCAAAATAATTAATTCTGAATTTCTTCATGAAGATGAGAGTTCAGAAATTGCACACTGGAAAATTCGTTGATTGAACTTTGCACGATTGCAGTTCCCTTTTGTGAATAATTCTAGTGTGTTTTGCGAGAGTTAATTAAAAAGTTCAGAAAAATTTGCTGAATGGAATTACATTTGAAATTTTCAAGTTCAACTGCTCAGTTTTATATTTAAACTCATTTCTAGGTTCTACGTAGGTTTTGATAATCCCTTCCTATTTGGTCATAAAATTCTTGGCATTTCCTGGTTCCTTGAAAGTGTTTCAAATGCTCATATGTCGACACTCTTGGAATTGAAACGATGAGATAATTTTTGTACCGTGTGTAGTTTACCTAAAAGTGTTCAATGTTCTTGTAATTGTGTGTAGTTTGTTATAAGTTATTGAAATGATGCACTATTAGATGTGACTACGGGCTTGTGAGATGTGATGGTGGAATTCTGAAGGGTGTGACTCCATAATTTTTGTCGAAATTCTGCTTTTCAAGTAAGCGATGACTTGCCCTAACTTATTATTGAATATATTGAAAATGTTTGAAGTCTTGTCGGCTTATGTAAAATTGGCCTGATCGGCTTATATGAATGGTTATTGTAGGATCAATTGTACAGGCGCACATAGTAACTATATTGAAAACATTTACGTTGATTTTGGGGGGCCTAATTTATGGAGTTCGCCTCGAGCCCCGAAAATTATAGGACCAGCCCTGATTAGATTATGTGGATTTTCTAATTCCAACAACGCCAGACAGTTAGGCTTTGTTCTCGAATGAGATGATGAAATGTAAGGAGTAATTAAGTTTATGCTAATCTGTTTGTGATGATTGTGAAAAGCCATTTTATTATTCTAGGTTATGAAGGAATTTAATTTTGTTATTCTCTGACAAAATTATAAAGTTGAAATTAGGGTTTTAGGATGAAAGCTGCTGAGAAATGATAGAGAGTTATTTGTTTTGGCTAATTATTGAATGCTTTTTGATGTTTGTAGTACTATAGATTAGGCTTGTATTGGAAACCAAATGTAATTTACTGAATTTGGAGGCATCTGAGATGCCTTTTTTGATTGCGTTTGGTCAGTTTGGTTTGACAAATAGAGTAGATGACAAGATATTAGGAAATATTTAGAAGAAACTGGTTGAAGGATATAGGAAGCCTTTAATTCAGATTTTGGATTATTAATTTAGTAAAGATGTCCCAAAATTTTTGAAGTATATGAAAAAGGGTTCAAAAATCCCTGTCACGCAATAAATTGGGCTGGTGGATTGCACCGTGCCAAGAAGTGTGAAGCATCTGGATTTTGTTACATTAATGACTTAGTTTTGGGCATTTTGGAGCTTTTGAAGCATCATGCAAATGTTCTGTATGTTGACATTGATTTGCATCATAGTGATGGGGTGGAAGAAGCCTTCTATTTCACTTATAGGTACTAAGAAACATAATATGCAGTCTGTGAACTTGTGGTGTAGATTATTAATTTCACTTAGTATGTCATAATCAGATAATAGCTTCGAGCTAATTTTTTGTTGAGCAGTTGGTCTACTCATAATACAAGTGCAGTTTCAGAGAGGTCTACTGTCAGTTTGTCAAAGTACGATTTTTTGTTTTTCGTTCAGGGTATGGGGGGAATAACCCTTCAAATTCGGTGATTAACTCATCTTTGTAAAATATATTTTGGTATATTCTCCTCGTACCAATAAAAAGGAATTGGTCGTGTGCCGGAATTTGTTTCAAATCCATTACTCATAAAGGACAATGGCCATGTGAATGGGTTGTGTGCCAGCCAATTACAGGACAAGGGTAATGTTACTTGCCCTAATATTGATTTTGTATCACACAAGTCAGTCTGGTATAGAATTTTCCAAGATAGACGGTCAATTTGGAAATTTTCTTCCATCCAGTCTTAGTCTTGTAGAACTCAAATCGTTAATTACCAATAGTTTCAACCTGGCCTGCACACTTAGGTGACCGTTGCTAAAAAATATTATTTACTTTTATATGTAAATATTGATACTTGAATTATACTAAGTATTGGATAATTTATTCTCCGAATGGTGCACTATACGGAACGCTGATGGAGCTTGAATAACTTGACACTCTTTTATTTAAGAAATATTCTATAAGTACAAGGTACATGGCCTAATGGCCCTGTACGTGAAGACAATCTCTTTTATAAGGCAATTATGCTCTTAGTTCATCAATGAGTCAGTATCAAATACTCTTAGTATAAATATTGTTCCTGCACTTTCTATTGAATCAAAATTTTAAGCTTTGCCAACTGACCAATTATCAACCACATTGTCATCCATTGTTTCTTCATTGCATCTGGGAATGTACCCTTTTAAGGTAATTCGTGATAGGACTTGAAATATGTAAAAAATTATCTTTTGAGATAGCCTTCTGACTATTCTAAGACTACATCTTATTACAAGAGAGTTTTTATCCATGTGTTGATTTAATTTTGAAGGATGTAGGTGAAAGAGGAGGCAAATTTTCTTCTTCTTTAGTTTCACCTTTATCTGTTACTTTTTCACTAGGACAATGAAATAATAAATTTGTGAGTAGAAGATAGTACCCTTGAACGTATGTTTTATGATAAGTTCTCAATCTCAAACCTCAGCCATAACAGCTTGGATGCATTGTTGAAGCCCTTTGTAAGCAACAACTTTTGCAATGGACATGGCTGATGTCATTTCTTCACAATGGGAGTTAAGGGAAGACCTCTCACATGTGTCAAAACGTATTATCAATTGATTCAAACAATAGTAAACACATGCTTGTTTGATCATCAAGTAATTTAGTATATAGATGGTTAGAGTCATCAAGCTAATTGTTTGATCATCATCAATAG